CCAGAAAGCAGAGCACAGGGATGCCCACCTAGCTACACCTGGGCCCTTGTCTTCATTCACCTGGGCTTCTGCCCAGTGCTCCAAGCTGAAGTGCTCAGCACATATGTGTGTGCCTCTGCCAGCATGCATTCTTTCTACCAAGTCACTTTTTTATTTCTCATTCCTGCCAAAAAGAGAGAGAGTCTACGGGTTAATAGCAAAATAGAAACCATAGCTCAAAATGTCTGTTTAGGGCATGTTCTCTTGCATCCATGTAGATGAATAGAGATTTCAGAAATACTGGGCCCTCTGGGCCTCAGGCATTAAATCAATCAGTGCAATTTCACTCACAGGGCAGCTTGCCAAGCAAGCGCAGGAGAAAGTAGTGAGTTCTCTGATTTAGTTCAGTCCGTTAAGCCCATGGCAGCCCACACCAGCCCACTACTGCAAAAGGCAATCAAATAATAAGTACTCAGCCACTTTCGGGGGCAGGGGCTGGCCGGGGAAGGGGTTCTCTGGAGCCGTTCAAATGCAGCCAACTTGATGGGTTTTTAGGGTAGTTCTGAGACCTAGAGATGGGTAAGGAACCCAGGAAGCGAGAGCTCAGCTTAGTTAATGGAACTTCAGAGAAAGGCAGCAGAGGAATCTCTCAGAGAACCAGGGGGTTTTGTGTGTGTGGTGAGCAAAAAGACAGAACTAGGTGCTTGAATACTGCCTGCTAGGAACCGGCATTGAACAGCAGATGCCTAACTCAGCACGGCAAGGGCCAGCTTAGCACAGAGACCAGAGAGCAGGATGCACGGAAGGATAAATTTAGCCTGCGTTTCAGGGGAAAACATCGATCTCAAGTGTAGTGCTGTCTTTTAAAAGAAAGTGGAAGCCTTAGGCCGGTCATTTGGGACAATTTCACTTGAACAGATAAAAGCCCAGGAAAAATGAATGCTCATGACCAGCTCACCCTGCTAGCACACCCACAAGATCTTCCCTGTGCAGATGGCGGCTGACGTCCGCATGGGCCTGATGGATGGTCCACCCTGCCACCTTTATCTCTTCCCCAGAAATGACGCTGCCTTGTTTTCTGGAGAGATTTGAGGTTTATATTTCTGATCCCAAATGTTCATCTTCATGAGGAATGACAGGGTTCCAAGCTCTGCATTTGCTTGGCTGCTGGCCCAGGCCACTGACATCTGATGGGTCACACCTGTCGGAGCAGGGCCAGTACTAGCCCCCTCTCTGTTGTCTAGAAACTGAACAAAAGACATCCATTACTGGTGTCTGTAGATAAGGTTTCTTGTTTGTTTTTAACCAGGTCTCCTCTAGCATTCACCCAGCATCCTGAGCATTGTTTCCAGCTGGTCAAAGCTAAGGGCACCACTGTGGTCCCAAACAACAGAGTACCTGTCCTAATGAATTTTTTCACAATCTCGCCCATCAGCTGGTGACAGCATCTTTCCTACAGCCTCCCTCTGACACTGCTCCGTTGTGTGAAAAGGGAAGTCCAGTCTGTCAATATTTGGGGCAGTAATCATCTGCATTCGGGCGCCAGGGGTCATTGAAAGGCTGAGACGCTTCCAGGAATTCATGGCTCTAAAACTGTGGGGCTGACTGGAAAGGATCTCCAGTGAGGGTATGAACGAAAGAAACCCAAATCTCCACTCCACCCCCACCCCGCAGCCCCTGAGCATTGTCCACTGTGTCTTGGATCCTTGGGAAGAAATGAAGTCAGTGCACACAGTGACGTGTGTCCACATTAATAATCAGTGTAGAGGAAGGAGAAAGGATGTTCAATATTTAAACATGTCAGAGCGCTGACTTTGTTTGCCAGTTACCGCCCTCCGCCTTCTTCCTGAATGGGTTCTGTAACACTGAGCCTTCCTTCCCCAACTCTGCAGCTGGCATCCGACACCAGTGACTTACATAGAAAGGGAAATAGTGCCTTTTCTAGGCAGCCCTCTCCCCACAGCTTGCCTCCTTCTCAATTTTTGTTGCCTTTCTTGAAGGAAGAGGATGACAACGTAGAAACTAAGGTTTTTATGACTTCATAACAACCCCTGGAGCACCTGTGAGGAGTTGACAGCTCTAGGGTCATGTCCAGAATTGTCTTAATTTTCCCAGATTTGCTTATTTGAAACTGTCTCATATTTTAACATCAATGTTGTGCTTTGGTTTTTACCTCTGATTAAAAAGGCTAAACAATGAAACATACAGTTGTGTTTAAGAAACATCGCTCTAAGTCTGCACACTAGATACGTTCCTTAAAAGTTGCCTGTGATGCAGAATTCTGTGAATCAATTCCTTCTTTCTTCTTGACACACATTATAGGAAGGGAAAAGCATTCCTTTGGGGAGGAGGGAAAAACATTTGGCCCCAAGACATAATAAAATCATGCTTAAGGATGCAGCAAACTTTAGTCTCTTAGTTAAAGGAAATCAATACTTTTATGATGAAATATTAATAATACTCAAAAAATAAGTCAAAACTACAAATGCAGAAGAGCCAGGGTGGTTTTTAATGTTGGACACATTAGCTTAGCATCTCTAAGGAAGAACAAAGGGAAAAGAGAGCATTCTCCTAGCCCATTGGAGAATCCCTTTCAGTTCCTAATAAGTCCCCTTTCTGTGGGTTTTCTATCCAGAAGACACACACCTCCCCATAAGTGCCAATGTTACTTCCAAGCATTTTGTTGAAGCTACCAATGTTGGAAATGAAAGGATGAATGTAGATGGAGAGAGGAACACACACAGGTGTGTACACACACTCCCGCACACACGTGTGCACACACACACTCCCGCACACACATGCTGACGGGGCAAAGAGAAATGGAGAGTTGGGGAAAGCCATTTATTTGTTTGAATACACTGCTGGCTGTTCCCTCTGTCCTCATCCTCCATGAATTGTTCCGGTAGAGATCTTTAAGAAGGGTGGGCCTAGAGTACATTGAACCGTATGAATTGGCTGTTTCTGTAGGTCATGTTAGTTGAATATTGGCAGTTCCATGTGGTTCAAGCTCATCCAACTCTATCAAAGAAATGGAAACAGAATAGTCACGTGTCTTGAATGCAATGTAACATGGGGTTTTTAAGAATCTAGATGAGAATAACTTTTTCTCATAAACAATTTTCATATAAATCCCTTAAACTTAGACATTTTAAGTTATTTTAGAAAAGCTCTCTCATGTCTCACTTTATTAACTCCTAAAACCTTCAGTCATAATGACTAATGTGAGGAAGATTTTTGTTTTGTGTCATGTTATCTTCTCCAAAGAGCTGGGTCATTTCTTTTGCTATGTACCCCTTTGTCTAAAGGGGTATGAAAATCCCAGGCTGGGCGTGGGGGCTTACACCTGTAATCCCAGCACTGTGAGAGGCCGAGGTGGGCAGATCACGAGACCAAGAGTTCCAGACCAGCCTCGGCAACACAGTAAAACCCCACCTCTATAAAAAATAGAAAAATTAGCCAGGTGTGGTGGTGTATACCTATAGTCCCAGCTACTCAGGAGGCTGAGGTGGGAGGATCGCCTGAGCCTGGCAAGGTCAGGAGGCTGCAGTGAGCCGGGATCATGCCACTGCCCTCCAGCCTCAGCAACAGAGTGAGATTCTGTCTCAACAAAAGAAAAATCCCAGTTATTACATCACTGGGCCCAAGTTCCAGGCACCATAAATTCCAGCCGAGGACTCAAAACAGCAAGTGCTACCTGAACTTTTAAATTGTGTTTAATGCTTTAATCCTCAAGACCCCTGGAAGGTGTGGTGTTCTCACTCTGCTTTTTGCTAGAGAGGACACAGGCTCGTGGGTTAAACAGGTTCCCTGCTGTCACATGCCCAGACCCCCGGCCCTCTCCTCACCACTGTATCCTGTAGCCAGAGTAAAAATGACGGACCCAGAGGCAAGGAAGTGCTCTTCTGAAGGCTTCTCCCCCACAGATAACAGAAGGCTCATGTGCAGCCATCTGATTGGCATTGTCCCACAGGTCTGCCAAGGCAGACGTCGACAGAGCCCTGTCCACTTAACCTCAGCCGTGGCCTTTTGTAGCTTGTTCTGGGCTGATATCCATCGTGACCTTTCTGTGGCTCTGCACACATTCCCTGATTCTATCTGACTCACATAGTTCCAGATAGTATCTTCAGTTCTTGTTGTAGGTGATGTGTCATAGGATGTCATTGGCTGTTGGTCTGGCCTAGCCTCAATCTGTTAAAACACGCAATAGAAGAGGCTTTGGTGAGGTGGGCCAGCTTCAGAAATTAACCACCTACCTTGCAAAATCAGAGTCCTGGCGAACGAAAGCAAATGGAACGGGACCACAGGCATCCTGCTCTCTGCCTTGGGTGCAAATTAAGTATGTGTCAACTGCGCATGCCTTTTGCAGAGAATCAAAACTAATTCCCTTGCCCCTTTGAACACTGCTACCTCCTGGAACACATGGGGCAGGCCGAACCTATCAGTGTAGGATACACACCGCACGGCCTCCCTGCTTCCAGCCCGAAAGGTCTAAACGAAGCTGATGGGGTAAGAGACTTGCTGGGGAAGAATCTCGTGCTCCTGGCTGGGTGCAGTGTGCTCACGCCTGTAATCCCAGCACTTTGGAAGGCCAAGGTAGGTGGACCACCTGAGGTTAGGAGCTCGAGACCAGCTTGGCCAACGTGGTGAAACCCATCTCTAGTAAAAATGGAAAAAAATTAGCCAAGCATGGTGGTGCACGCCTGCAGTCCCAACTACTTGGAAGGCTGAGGCAGGAGAATCACTTGAACCCAGGAGGCAGAGGTTGCAGTAAGCCAAGATTGTGCCACTGCACTCCAGCCTGGGTGACAGAGTGAGACTCCGTTTCAAAAAAAGAAAAAACTAATCTGGTGCTCCTGGTCCAGCCAGATCCTTTGAGGGGCCATCCTTTGCGAGCAGGGCTGTAGTGACCCACCCCGCTCCTGGTGCATTCCTGATTTCACTCCCGTCAGGGTCACTGAGCGCCTGTGCCCGGGAGCCTCCTGGGCGTTGTCTAACCCACCTTCCTCCCACTGCCGTTTCAGCCCTGCTGACTGCCTCAGTAGAGAGGCAGCCCAGATGGCCACCACTGAGCTTGCTAGTGCCTTGGCTGAGAGACTGTTCTGGAACTCTTTGCTTGCTAATGTACAGATGGTAATACCAGTGGAAGAGGGTAGGGGCTGGGTGAGGCAGGGACCCAGTCCTTGGGAATCCAGCACAGCCCTGGTGACCCTCAGTTTTAGATATCCAAAGCAAGGTTGTACCACTAGGAGAGATTCCGAGATCGGGGTCCCTCATGTGCCAGCCAACCCTCTGCAGCCTGGTACTCATGTGAGATGCACACATTCCTCACATTCGCACAGCCCAGATGCCCCTGCCCCTCCCGGTAGCGAAAGGGACATTAAGACTTGGCGCTCCCCATGGGTGGTAGCCTGCACAGGCATGCCTCCACCCGACAGCAAAAACATTTCTATGGGCACAATTAGGACAGAAATGACACAGAGAGAAAGCAAGATACTGAAAGACCATTTTTTTCTTTTCTGCAGGTTTTCAAATATAGTGCTTAAAATCCAACAGGATTTATCCATGGATAAAGGGCTATAGGCTAAAAGATTCTGCAAGTTCCCAGCTATTTTTGTATGTTGGACATGTTATCCCCTGAAAAGCAACCAGAAATAAAAAGTCTTCAAGTGTTGTGAAGTGTAGCCCAGTCAGTGATGTGGGGGTTGCCCATGGTGGCGGCTCAGGCTTGGCCCAGGGAGGCCACAGGAACATCCCTTCCCCAGGTGCCTGATGAGTAGACCTGCCCCCTGGGCTGGACAGGAAGAGGCTTCTTCAGCATCTGCACAGGAAGAAAATCAGAAATCACCATTTGGGGGCGAGTCCCTAATTGCCCCCAAAGCATAGAGCTTTGTGCACTGAAACAGTAAATCATTTGAGACTCATTAAAGAGATACTGACAAGGGAGTCCCTAAGCAAATAACTGAAGCCTTCCCAAACTTCAGGGTCCTAGCAGTGAGGGAGGGAACTTCTGGAGGCCCCCAAGGGTCCTGCAGGCTCATGGCATCACTGCCATCTGAACCCTGCCCACATGTCAGTAGATGCTTTTGTTTTTGTGTAGATTCCTAAGAGGAGCCCCGGGCAAGGACCACATGGCCCGTGGTGGATGTACTGTTGTTGGACTTGATTCTGAACGCTGCTTCTTCAGCCCCCAAAATATGCTCTTTGAGCAGTCCTGGGTAGTTTGGGCCCTGTGCCCTGTCTTCCTAAGGTGGCTTTCTTAGGGTGGTCCCCCACTGAGTAGCTCCTAGCCTCTGCCTGCCCTCGGGCATTGCTGTCATCTTGCCAGGGGGGTAGGATCAAGAGCCGCTTCTTGAGTCAGAAGCACAAACAAGAAGGTTCTATGTCGCTTGTGGATCTTTCTAGTAAGCCGCAGTCTATCCAGAGCCACCAGCTGCTGAAGTCCCAGACTTAGTCACCTCCCAGCCCCCCATCTCTCACCCTAGGGACTTGGCAGGCTGCACTGGGAGGTGAAAGAGCAGATCCAAGGAAGGAGCCGGCTCGGGGAGAAATAAGGCCACGCACACTTGCTGTCTTCAGTTTGTGTGTGAGGTCACAGGGCCGATTGATTTTTTTTACTGTTTCCCAGCATCATGATGGGTGGTGAGAAAATATGAACACTGCATCGTCAGACCTGAGCCACAGCCTCGGAATGAATTTGCTAATGAAAGGCGAGCTCAGGGCACCCATGCCCCGTGGTCCTCATTCACGGCAGAGACTGTGGAAAATGCATGGGTTGCTTCTCCTGAATCAGTCCCCAGTGGGTTTTATATTACACTTTACAATCTGCGACAACCATAAATAAGTATAGGTTTTTGTTAGGGCAGGCAGCTCTCCTCTCCACATCTTAGAGCTGTATCCTAAAAGAGGTCTGTTGAAAACTGGACTTCTTTGATGCACCTCTGAGACTTACATGTCTTAGTCACATACCTCAGACTCAAAAGCCACCCATCTCCAGAGTTTGGCCAAGGTGGCTCTAAGGTGTGACAGACACCTTGGGGTTAAAAACAGAGACTGGAGGCCAGGTGCGGTGGCTCTCACCTGTAATCCCAGCATTTTGGGAGGCTGAGGCAGGTGGATATAACCTGAGATCAGGAGTTCGAGAGCAACCTGGCCAACATGGTGAAATCCCGTCTCTACTAAAAATAGAAAAATTAGCTGGGCATGGTTGCGCATGCCTGAAGTTCCAGCTACTCAGGAGGCTGAGGCAGGAGAATCACTTGAACCTGAGAGGTGGAGGTTACTGTGAGTCAAGATCACACCATTGCACTCCGGCCTGGGCAACAGAGCAAGACTCTGCCTCAAAAAATAAATAATAAGAGGCTGGAGACCCCTCTGGTTGCATACAAACGGCTCACACATACAGATGGCTTGGTTTGGGGTTACCCACTTCTTAATTTTCAAAAAGTATGAATGAAGATGTCAACATTTTCCAAATCAGGAAGTGTACGTCAAAATCCAGATATCCAGCTTCTCTTGAAGAACTGGAGACTGTGGCCATGCTGAGGTCCGTGTTCTCACACAGCAGCAGTAGTCAGGAAAAGCTGGGATCTGTGCCTTCTGGTTTTCCCCAGTCTCCACCAGTCCTGGCCGTCTCCCTGGTACAGAAGCTGAATGTCCCGTGAACTGTGTTTATGAGCATGCCTGCATTGTTGTTTTAATAGAAGAGAATGGTTTCTCAGTGTGCATGTGTCTATTAAATAAGGGGAAACAGATGACAGACAGAGAGGACCACTGGCGTTTTACCTCTGGCCCCTCCTCATTACATTACCCGGCTGGCTAGCCTTGCCCTGTCTGTGATTTTCAAAAGTAGGATCCACAGAAGTGTCTAGAAAGGGGAGGGGAAGCCCCTCCTTGGTAAGGCTTCGTGCCAGCCCCAGGCAATTCCGTTTTCATCTCATGTATAAATTGGAGTTTCACTATTTAGAAACAGTGTTTGAAAAGGGCTGTCATAGGGCATTATCTTTGCAGAATGAGGTTCCATCTGCATTCAGGAAGCTGTATATTCCATGAAGCTACTTTCAAAGACATGCCCCAAGAGGGTTCATGGGACAGAAACCTGGCAGGTGAATTGGTGTGTGGTGTAGGTCACCTGGTACAGTTTTCCCTTGTGGTCTTGGCTCCTAGGAAGCTCAGAGTTGAATGGTAACATTAACTTCACATAGCTTGAAGGCTTTCTGATGTAACTTTTCACCTTTTATTTTTGGGCTCTTATCATTTACTTTTTGTTTTATTGGCTTTCGGTATTTACTATCTATGGCATTCAGGTTTGGGTTTTAAAATGTAACATAAGCCATCTCAAACCCTTCTTGGAAACAAGCAGTATATAAGTGCATCTGTAGGGGATGAGGCAGCAGGGTGAGGTTAATGCTTTTGAGTAGAGTGGAGAATCCCCAAATTGAATTCAAAGCCAACTGGGTTCCTTCCCTTTCAGCTCCCTAAAAGGTCCCTGTGGAATCCCCTATAAGCTCAGGTAGTTTTCACATCTTCCAAGGGTGGATTTGTTTTTTGAGCCTGAAATAGTTGCACTTCAGTCACATGGCCAGTATCCTCAGAGTAATCATCACATGCAATGCAGCACCAACTCCAGGCAGGCCACAGAGGCAGAAGGGCCTCCCCGCTCCCTTGGAGATTCAGAAAACTTTTGGTGCAAGCCCGCTAGTTTTTGCGCCTGCACACATCAAAGCCCTTCCCACCCTTTAGTCTCTCTTGGGCCTCGCTCTTTCTGGGTCTTTTTTTATTTTTTTATTTTTTGAGATGAAGTTTCACTCTGTTGCCAGGCTAGAGTGCAGTGGTATGATCTTGGCTCACTGCAACCTCCACCTTATGGGTTCAAGCAGTTCTCCTGCCTCAGCCTCCCAAGTAGCTGGGATTACAGGCGCACACATCCACGCCTAGCTGAGTTTTTGTATTTTAGTAGAGACCAGGTTTCACCATGTTGGCCAGAATGGTCAAGATTTTCTGACCTCATGATCTGCCCACCTTGGCCTCCCAAAGTGCTGGGATTATAGGCATGAGGCACAGTGCCCAGCCTCTTTCTGGGTCTTAACCATTGTGTTTAATTTCTGTGGCTTGGTGTGAACCCAGACAAAAACTCTGCCCCATCTTTGCTTTCTACCCAGAAAGTCCGCTTGCAACACATGGGAAAGAGTTGGCCAAGTGTTTCCTAAAGATTTGAGGGGTCATGGGGTGGGTCACCTCCCACCTCACTTGCCACTTTCCCTCTTTATCTTCAGCCCACCACACCCAGATTGGGGCAGGTTTCTGTGCACCAGAAACCCTGGGAGCCAGCCAGTCCCTTGTCCCTAGGGGACTTAACTCACATCCTGCATTAAGAAAGTTTTTTCCCTAACTGTATCAGTTAAGATTAAGTTCAACTACATAGTAAAGATAAAGTCAAAAGGGAAGTTCATTTCCCTGTCAAATAAAAGAAGCCTTGTAGTCAAGAGCTAACACAAAGGCATCAGGGACCCAGACTCCTTCCTGTTCAATGCTCTACTGTCCCTAATGTGTGATTCATCCTCATAGCTCAGGGTAGCAGCTGGAGTTCCAGCCATCGCTTCCATTTTCCGGGAAGCAGAATGGAGGAGGATATACCCACTTTTCTTTTAGAGAGCCTTCCAGGAAATCCCACATGCCACATTCATTTCTGTCTCACTGGTCACCACTTAGTCACTTGGTCACGCCTACCTTCTGGGTTCTGTAACTGCAGCTGAAAGGGAGAATGAGTGTTGAAAGACAGCTAACAATGTTAAGAACACTGCCCAAAATCCTCTTCTTTTTGCTTTTTTTAAAAGCCTTCCCAATAAAGTGAACAAAACTCTCTTAACCCAGAAAATTCCAGGTGCTAGCTGTTAATGTAATGATAATCATCACTAAATATCTAAACATCTTTAAGGTCCAATTTCTTATGCCTTACTAGGGTAAGCCAACTCCTACACAACCGTCAAAGCCCCAAGGCTGGGCAGAGCTGCTACAGGAGCACAGGGAGAGAACAGTTAACCCCACCTGATGCAAAGACCCCTACCAGGCTGGTGCTGAGCTGTGTGAGCCATGAAGAATGGGGCAGGGATTTGTAAAGACAGAAAAGAAGCAAGAGAGAACAGCCTAGCAGAGGTTGAAAGCAAGTGGTTCTTGCTAGGAAGTCTGAGGACTGACCTAGGTTGCTGGAGGCAGATCACCGTATTTCCACATCCCCACTCCCCCTACACACACCCAGTGATTCTGGGGCTGTAGGAGGGCCTTGACTCCAAGGGTCTCTGGGGGTTCGAACTTCCCTGAGTCGTATGGATCTGACCAACAATCTAGGCAGAAAAAGCTGAGATTATCAATTCAGATGCCTGCATGGCCAGACAAGTTGCAAGAGCAGGAAACCAGCTCTGCTTATCTCCCTCCTGTTGCTGTCCCGGTAGGAATGGGAGCCCATAAAGCCAGATCTTTTCATCTTTTAAGAAACCAGAAATCCTTGTCTGTGCATAAAATCTCCCAACGTGTCAATGGCGATACCTCCAGCAAGCACACACATCATGTAAATAAGCAAAGCAAAGCTCGTATGCAACCCTAGGCCACCGCTGGCCAGCTCTGAATCTTGAATCACATGGTAAAGCGATTCTTGTGGGGAAAGCTTAAAGACCCGGAGAAGAGGAGGAGGGGGTCATGTCCAAGGTCTCAAAGTTAGTTTGGCCAGAGCTTGGACGCAAACCTGGGGTTCTGACTCCAAGCCCAGTGCTCCTTCTATCAGTGGGCCTAAAAATAAAAGACTGACCTTTTTGTGGTATTTTTGGGCTTGACAAATGCCAGAACATTATTCCTTAGTTCATCTTCCCAAAATAACTGGCTACACACAGCCAGAGGGCAACAGGAAGATCCTGGGCTGCCCCCCATGAAACTGGGCCCTCCTGGGATGCAGGGGATGTGTCTCATCTTGGGCATAGGTCCCCCCACTGTTGGAGCAGCCTTCCTGGCCCTGCTCTTGGTGAGTCCAGGAGAGAGAGCCTCAGAGGGCAGAACAGATCTCAGGATGTTAGGATCGGGAGCTTGAGTCTGTCCAGCCCCCAGGCAGCTTGTGTTCCTTCCATCATCCTCCCTTTTTTTTTTTTTTTTTTGGTTTAAAATCAGGTTTATAATAGGAGTCCTGGAAAATTTAGACAAGCACAAAAAATAACAACAAAACTCTGCCATACAACTACCTGGTTCTCTCACTGCATCGGCTTCAATCCCTCCAGTCTGCTTTCTCTGCCCTGGACAAGAAAGCATGAATTTTTTTTACAAGAGCAGGAACATATGGGACATGCTTTTTCTAACCTTTTTCATTGACTCCATCTCGAGTGTTTCCCCCGATGCTTAATCTTCTCTTACCAGCATCTTGGTTGGCAGCAGGGAATTTCATCATCTAGATGGATTAGAATTCACTTAGCCTTGCCCCAGTTCTTGGACATGTCAGCCGTCTTCTGTTCTCTGCTCTGCACACCAGTAGGTTGACTGCCCTTGTAGTTTGGTATGTGGATCTCCCCAGTGTCATCTGCAGGTGTGGAATTGGTCAGATGGTGTGAAAGGCTGTGCAGTCGCATATATACATTTTGCAGGATGTCCTTGAAACATACCCAGGAAGCACCAAGAGTGTTTTCTGGAGAGGATCTCAGGGAGGCCTGTTTGCCTGCATCCCTGTCCCACAATCTATGGCTCATCTGTGTGTTTGCACATACCTGACAGCCCGTATGTGTTTGATTCATGCACCAAAAGCCTCTGGCAACTCCACCAAAGCTAGTTCATCAAGGACTGCCTGGCTGAGATGAAGCAGGAACCAGAGGACAGGGTGCTCCAGCCATGGGTGTTCATCTTAAATTCTCACCAGCGCCCTCCTGATTCTCTGATGTGCTGCCACCTAGATTTGGGGAAAAGCCTCTTGAAACTGCAGGTGGGAGGCCTTGGGCATCCAGCAAAAAAAAAAGAAAAAAACTCACTTTTTCTTCTTTCCCTTTCTGATCTCATTGCCACTGGGAAAGGGAGAGAGAGTGGAAAGGAGGGAGGTGGGATTTTTAGTAGTAGCAGGTGAGGGAGAGATGTGTTCAGTTACCTCTGCTCAGCTAGACCCTGCAAATGGGTGGGATCAGAGGTTGGTGATACTTTTTTCTGTGCTCAGTACATGCAGATTTTACTGCTGATCTGTGACTTGATCCCAACCCATTCCCAAAATGAAAGAACTTAAGCATCCTGACCAAAGTGCCAGCTTCTCATCTGCTGCCCAACATGTCCCACTACAGATGATTTTTGATAATAAACCAGGGTGTCTTCTTAGAAAGGGCATGTGACCACCTTGGCAACAGCCGCGTCGTTGATCCATTCCAGCCAGGGTTGTTATGGGGAGCATACAAGGTGTAATCCCAACTCTGTTATGACTCTGGCTGGCCCTCTGTTCTTGGCCCTGATAAATAGGGAGCTCGGGAAAAGCCATCTTGACATTTTGATTTAAGGGGTAATTCATTTTCAAGGCAAGTAAACAGCTTGTAAACTAGGGGGTTCACTGCTCTAAGTGATTAAGAAGTGAACAGCTATCAAACTGGTTTCATGAGGCTGTGGCTGAGTGTCCCCAAGGAATCTTCCTGCCCGGTGTTTGGATTTGCCAGATGTTTGCCATAGGTCATCCGAGCGGGCCCCCGACACACACACACAATATATCACATCGTACCTCTTCCTGAGAACTCCAGCTACATTCATCCTGCCTTTCTCTCCGCAAGCGGATCTCTGCGGTAGGTGCGGGCAGGAAATACCCTCCGTACAAGAGGAGCTGGTGCTCAGGATGGCCACCTCGCTCGGTGACTAACCCTGTCCCCAGTGGGCCCCACACACTCGCCGTTATGGTCAATGCTTGTTACATCATCCCCAAAACCCAACTCGTGGTATAATAGGACCCCTGCCTTTTAAGGAACTGCTCTTTAGACAATAATGCCTTCACATGGACCTGAGTACAAATATCTCCTCCTTGATGGCCAGAAGAAGAGTCCTGCTAAGCCCTAGGCCGGAGAGTCAGAGCCGCAGGTCCCACCCCTAGGTGAAAGGAAGCAGGCTGAGGGACATCAGGGACATGTTCATGGTCCCACAGCTGGTAAGTGAGCAGAGGAGGGCTAACCCCTGGTACCAGAACCTGGGCTTCATCACCTGCACCAGATGGGCCCACTGCTTCTGTCCAGAGCCAGGTAACAGGTAACCTGGCAAAAAAAAAACACAAAAACTTTTATTGATTTATTTTGAGAAAGAGCCTCACTCTGTTCCCCAGGCTGGAGTGCAATGGCACGATCTTGGCTCACTGCAACCTCTACATCTCAGGTTCAAATGATTCTCCTGCCTTAACCTCCTGAGTAGCTGGGATTACAGGTGCCCACCACTATACCCAGCTAATTTTTTTTTTTGTATTTTTAGTAGAGATGGAGATTTACCATGTTGGCCAGGCTGGTCTTGAACTCCTGACCTCGTGAATCATCCGCCTCAGCCTCCCAAAGTGCCGGGATTACAGGCATGAGCCACTGAGACTGGCCTAAAAAAACCTTTTAGTCTTTGCAGGCCATGTGGTCACTATGGCAACTGCTCAACTCTGCCACTGATGGAGAAAGCAGCCATAGTCCGAGTAAACAAAGGACTGTGGCTTGTTCCAGTAAAACTTCACTTATCAAACAGGCAGCAGGCTGTAGGAAAACCCTGCCAGCACCCTGTTGCCTCTCTGAGTTTCAAGAAAGGTGAGGTCAGGGCCTGAAGGGCCTTCTGGAAGTAGTGTCAGTGGAGAGCTGGACCATGCGAGGTTCAAGCAGAGCAGGTGGTATGAATGAGGTCCGGGGCTGGCTGTCGTGAATGCATTTGCTTGAGGAGTGGCAAGGCCTGGGGTAATGACCAAGAGGGTTGAGATTCCCTCTCTCATCTGGAAGGACTCGCCCACCCCCCGCATATCTCCACCTCAATTTGGGGCTGTTTCTGTACTACGAAAACCATCACCACGGGTCCTGCCCAGCTCCTAAGGACTGAAGTCGTGGCTTGCAGAAAACCACGTATCCACTGGAAGAGGGGCCCCTGGCCCGGATAAAAGGGATTTTGACTTATCATAAAGAACACATAAGGCCAGGTGTGGTCGCTCACACCTGTAATCCCAGAACTTTGGGAGGCCAAGGCAGGAGGATCACTTGAGTCCAGGAGTTCAAAACCAGCCTGGGCAATGTAGTGGGACCCCCATCTCTACAAAAAAAATAAAAATTAGCCGGGCATGGTGGCACATTCCTGTAGTCCCAGCTACTCAGGAGGCTGAGGCGGGAAGATCACTTGAGCCTGGGAGCTCAAGGTTATGGCGAGCTGAGATCACACCACTGCACTCCGGGCTGGGCAAGAATGAAACCCTATCTCAGAAAAACATAAAGAACAAACAGGTGTACTGAGCTCTCACCATGTGCCACACCCTGTGCTGGGGCTTGACAAAAGTTACCTCATTTTATCCCCACAATAGTGGGGTCATCAGAGTAGGTAGTGATACCTCCTGGTTGTAGCTGTTAGAGACTCAAGAGAAACACAATAGCTGTCCATGTGTCTGGTGCTTCATGCGGGAAGCAGGGTTGCGCCTAGGTCTGAGTGTCTCCAAGATGAGGAGACATCCCCGCTGGGTCAGTTTACCATGGAAAGGTGCGGCAGAGCCCACCTCCAGGTCCCAGAGTTGCTGAGGGCCATTTGAGACCGTCATCGCTAGCTCTTCACCAGAGCTTTCGTTGTTCCTGAACCTGGATTTCCTAGAACCTCAAGGGCGGAGCACATTCTCTGTAAAGAAAATCCAGGGCACTCCCCCCCTGCCTGGACGTGACTCCAGGGCTTGAGTCAGGTGCCCTTCCTTGGGCACCATCAGCAGGGACCCTGAGCCTCTACCGTGAGGGCATGTGGCATCCCTGGGTGAACTTGCCACGGTGACACAGCTGGCGAGCTGCTGAGCTAGCATCAGACACTTGGATTTATGACTCATGGCCCCACTCTCGGCTCTGTGGCTGGTTATACTCTTTTCCTTGAATACCCTCCAAATGGGGCTGGGTCAGACCCACGACCAGCAAGGTCAGCCTGTTCCAGCGAACAGAGCAGGACTTCCAAGGGACTGGGGTTGCGTTGCTCAGCGGGACATTGAGGCCCCCGGGCCTGCTCTTTGCTTCCATTTGGTCACCTGGTACCTTGTCTTGCAGGCTTCGCTGTGGCCCAGTGCATAAACCAGCACAGCTCCCCATCCCTGTCCTCGCAGTCGCCACCCTCCGCCAGCGGGAGCCCCAGCGGCAGTGGGAGCACCAGCCACTGCGACTCGGGAGGCACCAGCTCGTCCTCCACCCCCTCCACAGCCCAGAGCCCAGCAGGTATTGGCCACGTGACTCAGTAGATGGGGGGGCATTCGGGGAACCCCCTGATCCCTTGCCATTACCAAAACCCCTGACCTCCAGGTCCTCCTGGTCACAGTACTTGAAGGATGCTGCTGCCCAGGTGATCTACACCTGAAGCCTCTAGAGGTGCCTTAACGTGATATTCCCTCCCAGGCGGGTTCAACTCCCAGATGGGAAAGAATTGCTCCTTTTTCAGGCTGGTCCCCACCGAGGCCACGACTGACTGCAAAGCTGATGGGCAGCAGGTGGGCCACAGCTAAACCCACCCCATCATCACCTCCACAGTCTTAGGTCTCCCGAGGTGAATGTTTGCAGTCTGGGAAAAGAATTGTGTTCCTGCTAATTTTTCTTCCTCTATAACATACAAGTTTTGTCCTTAAATATGCGGTCCAGTTGTCTGAGTAGGCGTGCACTTTGCCACCCGTTGGAGACTTTGGTAGGATGTGATAAAGTCATATCTTGCCATCCTTCAACTTATTCCACTTCAGACATGGCACAGAGGGAATCAAGGAGTGAATGGGAGCCCCTGGAGTCAGCCTAGAATGGGACATGCCCCTGCTCCTCATTCTCAGCTGCTGTGAGCTCTTCCCTGCGTGAGATGTGGGGGAGTACAGACACCAGGCCTCTGGAACAACATGGCCCCACATTGTAGCCAGAGGAGCAGGAGGGGCATCCAAGGCCTTAAGCCAGCAAGATGCTTTGTGCCCAGCAGCATCCCTCTGCCATGGGTCTAGGGGATTATGCCAACTGCCTGCACTTCTGATTGGGGACCCTCAGTGTCCTGCAAGGTCCCCTCCAGAGCCCTCACTCATCATATTTCAGGGGCACCTGGCCCGACTTTGATTAAGTTGTGGATGATGGATCATGACAGGAGGACGAAGGCCACTGCAGAACCAGGGAGGTCGAGGGCCCTTGGTCCCCATCCTTTCAGCACCAGAAGCCAAGGGCACCCACACCTCTCTCAGGCACTTCCACATTTTGCATTTCCAGTTCACCTCTCTGGCTCAGAGCACCTCATCCCGCCTGTGTCCATCCCATACACATGATGTTGCTTCCATTTCCTCTTGACTTTACGAGGCCCAGGCAGGAAGGTCACCCCAGAGCTACCTCACTGAGACCTTCTTCCACTGGGCACCTGCTCCAGGACATGACCACCCCTTCTAAGCCCAATTTAAGGTTGGCTCCACATCTAAGCAGATGCCACTGCTGTTGCCAGGCTCATAGCTGGGCAATTCCAGCAGAGCCTCTTCCAGGAGCCAAGGTGTGCCTCAGTAGCCCTCTTAATCCCGGTCTCATGCTTGCTCCGGGGCAGGCATGCAAGGTTGTGTGTGCATGTGCCTGTATGCACATCCACCTCCTGCCTGTGCGTGCACGCTTCTGGGTCTGCATGGACACCCCAGCACATACATTCACCACTGCACTGGGATGAAAGCTACTTTTCCCGTGTAGCTGGAGTCACCTTTCTGTCATTTTTAAGGATGCATAGCCAACAGCTAAGTGAACAAAGAGCCATACACTTCTTTGCCTCAAGTTAAAACCAGCAAAGACCCACAGCATCAAAAATGGGCCTCTGTATATGGATGCCCACCTGAACGTGACCCCTGAGGCTTCAACTCTGCACTTTTCCAGAGGCTGATGTCTGTGGCGTGTGCTAGTCTTTTCTCTGGGCCTCCCTCAACCTCTTTGTCCCCACCCCCACCATCCCCTGCATGGTGCCGGTGCCATGTCTTCTTATCGCAGAAATCCAATGGCTGTTAGCCTGGTTGTCAGGTGGCCAGACAGTTCCAGTTGCCAAGTTAGAGTCAGGACCTCCGAGGTGTCTGCTCCCTTTTGGTGTGTCCGCAGCAGGCCTGCGGAGACAAGTGTGTAGATCCCCATTCTTTATGTAGCATGAGAGTAAAAGCCTGAGGCCCAGCCTGCCTGTCCAGCTCTGCAGACACTGAGATAACTCACCTCTTGATGAAGGGCCTGGCCCGGCAGGCAGCCTGGGCTTTACTCTTACGGATGCCTCAGGACGCAGCTATTGATCCCTGGCAGGAGAATGCATCAGAGCCCACAAGCTCCTCCCTGTCTTGAGGCCAGACTTCCAGGCCAGCATGCAGTCTCCTTCCAGTCCACCCAGAACAAAGCATATGGGCTTTCCATGTTCCCTGCACGGGTGGATCTAACCAGATGGCTCCAACATCTGCCTGCTATTCCACCAAGCTGCACAGGAGAGAAAGCCAAGGACAGGAGAAGGGAGACAGTTCTGTTGGGATGGGAGCCTTCCTGCCAGTTGCCTGATTTGACATCTGCTCAGAGTATGGCTCAGCATTCAAGCTTCTGATGAGGGAAGGTCGCCCTGTGCGGCACGCTCACCCAACTTTCCACCCGCTGGGGGCCTGGCGCCCATCCACAAGTGATGACGTCCTTGGAGGGCCAGCCCAGTGGCAGGGTGAGCCAGGGCCTCTCCTCCAAGCCCATTCATCTTAATTGCCCACTGCCTTCAGCCTGGACAGCAGAAGACAGCTACAGCACCCCCAAGGGGCAGCTTGTCCTCAGAGTGGTTTTTGAGGGCACAGTGCTAAGTCAGAAGCATTCCCATCCCTGTGATTATGAAGCCTCCTAGAGTCCAGGAAGCTCCCCCTTGTAGAGAGCAACTGCCAGACCCTCTGAAGTCAGAACTAGCAAACCCCAGTGGCTTTGTTGCCGTTGATATGTTTTTTGGGTTTTTTGTTTGTTTTTGAGACAGAGTCTTGCTCTGTTGCCCAGGCTCCCAAGTAGCTGGGATTACAGATGCCGGCCACCATGCCCAGCTAATTTTTGTATCTTTAGTAGAGATGGAGTTTCACCATGTTGGCCAGGCCGGTCTCAAACTCCTGACCTCAAGTGATCTGCCCGCCTCAGCCTCCCAAAGTGCTGGGATTATAGGCACGACCATCATGCCTGGCCCACCTTTGCCGTTGAAAGCACACTTTGCATGTCCAGGTGCTGGGAAATTGCACAAGACATTCCATCTCCCAAGTGATGAGACAAACCCAGTTTTCTGTGGCTCTGGCACATGGTTTTGAATACTTGAATTGTTCAAGGATGTTGTTAAAAGCTGGGAGTGCTCTCTACACTATTTTGACAGTTCTTGTGGCCCAGGCACCCACCAATCAGCGTGGACTCCTGCTGTAGCCACCACAGGGCCCTCTCTGTGCACCTGCTGTGCAGCGTCCCAGTAGACACTCCTCCTGAAATTGCGCCCACCTGTGCCATACACCATGCTTGTAAGCACTTCATAGATGTCCCCTTGTCAAATCCTGCCACACTCCACCTTACACTCTACAGTAGAAAACACAGGGGCCCAGAAAGGCTGTACAACTTGGCCCAGAGGATGCAGCTAGCTAGCAGAGAAGCCAAGATCCGAAGCCTAGCCTTGGCAACCCTAAAGCCCACGCTCCACCTTCTGAGACAGCTAGCAGAATATCCCATGCAGTTCCCAAGACTGTCTCAGACACCTCCAAGGTGTCCTGGAGACCCGGGCCCCGGTCTGGATCCTGGTTGGAGGCAGCCCACAAAGTGCATTCCTCCTTCCAATGGGCATGGCTGCTCTAGGGCCCACGTGAAAAGTCACAGCCCTACTCATGAAGGCCTGGTAACATGTGCAGCCTCAGCCAGCAGAAGGCTGTGTGGCGTGAACCCCTGTGGGAGGAAGGCCAGGTGCTTTCCTCAAATCAGCAGCAAAATGGACCCCAGTGGGCCCACGTGGGTTCATCCTATATGAGGCAGTGAAACCAGCTAATGCTAAATTGGGTTTTCTGGCTCTACCCTGTGTCCAGCTCAGAGAACCTTAGGCTTCCTGCCTAGGTTTGAAAACGCCCCGTTTATCCCAAATGTACATGTTCAGCTTCCCGCAGGGACTTCAGGCTGGCTCCCAGGATTAGGCTTACACTGTCCTCTTGTTTTTCTGGACTTGAGACCTGATCTAAGGGGCCTTTCCACCCACCCGGCCCACACGTGGCCTTCCGTTCTCTTAGTGGCTCACCTCCCTGGATCTTATCTTTCCTGGGTTTGGGCACCCCAGTCCCTGTCCCACTGAAGTATCTTTTTCTAAGCAAGCAGGATGAGGATGATTAGGATAAGTCCCTGTTATGCACAGCATTCAGGATACAGTGTGGCATAAACTGTGATCTTGCGGGCAGGTGGGGAGGCTGAGGCCCATCAGGTAGCCACCCAGACGGATGTGCAGTTAAACAGTGACAAAGGAAAGGTGCAGCAGGCCCCGACAGCTGATGCAGAACAGCTGCAGGAGGCCCCCAGAGGTGGCATTGCTGGAATTGACAGCTGGGGGGCGAGGGGTTGGCTAGGCCCTGGTCCATGTGGAAGGTGGTCTTTGGGTCTCACATGAGTCCACCAGGGCCCAAAACCACAATCTCCTGGAGGCCAGTGGATTCCTTTTGCCCATCATCCTGGGGTCTGCCTGTACATTCTGTCTTCCCAAATGCAGACAGGCCGTGGGCAGGGGGAGAGGGCACCTTTGAGGAAGTCCCCACCCAAGCCCAGCACAGGCAAGGGCCTCTGAGCCAGAAAGGGAAAGGGGACAGGGGACAGCCCTGAGGGGTTGCTGGCTCTCTGGTTCCCTCTGTGTGTAGCATCTGCTTCTGAGCCTCCTTCGCATGCCAGAGGCAGAGGGTACCTGGAGTGGCTGTTTCGGTGCTGGCCCCAGATTGAAGGGAGGGTGGTAGGCACCTGTAATCCCAGCTACTCAGGAGGCTGAGGCAGAATAATTACTTGAACCCACGAGGCCAAGGTTGCAGTGAG